AAAAATCGAAAATTTTTTTTTGTTGCTTATTATTACTAATGTCTTTTCGACGTCTGATTTCTTTTTAAAAAATGCGTTTCTAAAGTGCATAAACTTTTGGGATTGACTGTATAGTCAATACATCCTTAAGAAGTAGTACATATTCGTATTTGTCAATATCAATTGAAGTGCTACGTGAGGATAAAAAGGTTCGAGCACTTTGAGAACAAAGTAACGTAGGAAAAATCGTCAGCAAAGTGAATCAGGAGCATCGACGCGATAAGGGATCGCGCGATGACGATAACGTCTAAAAATTATTTACTGCAGCAGCGATTCAGCCGCTGGAGGCCTGTATCGATCATTGTCTCTTTATTTTCGCATCGGTCATTATAAAAAATGAATGATTCGAAATGAGATAAATAATTTCCTGATCCATATTTTGTTTCACTGAAATTTTCCTCGATACCTACGAAGTCTTAAAGGCGCAGATACGAGATAAAACCAATATCGATAAGCTCGCGCGGAACTAATCTACACCGATCCCATAGAAGGCAAATACGATTCGTTTCTAGGCGAAAAACAGCAGATCTCGCCTTGGTGCGAAAACAGTTGAAAATCAATTTCCTTCGGCGATATATTTAAATCGGGGGCGGGTTTCACGACTTCTGCGTTTCAGAATAACCACAAACCCGATCCAATCTGGGTCATACACGTCGTCGACGGCGAAACTCGATCGCGTTTCGTATTCTCTCGCCTTCTGTTCGATCCGACTAAGTTTAATCCGACCGGCCGCGAAGAAAAAATGATCAGGATTGTTAAACAGGAGGACGGCAAGCCAAACCCTGTTGTACGATTCACGTAAATAATTTCAATCAAGCCGGTGGTCCAACACGACGAATTAAAAAATAGCATAAGCAATGAACAAAGATTTCATTATAGCTGTTTGATTCTTAAAGAATGGAAATACAGAATCGATCAATTTTTATTCAGAATACACGTCTCGGGCTATACAAATTTTAATTATAATATAAAGCATAATTCATCAATCTTGTACAGATCATCGTTGATCGATACACACAAGGGATACCAGATTAGTCACTGATAATCGTGACACCCGATCGCTTATCTCGTCGAACGGAGCACGAGCTTCGTCTCGAACACCGATTCTTTTTCCCCAGCCATTCATCTTATTACGTTTCGCAAGACAGTAATCTTGCAACCGATTAGATAAAACAGACCTACTTCTCGGATTATCGAAGCATTGGTAATAATACTTTCTCGATCTGGCTACTGGTAAAAGCTCGTATAGAATTTCTTCGATCAAAACAATCTCGATTAAACATGGTCTCATTAATTTAAGAAGAAATCCTGATTGCTATTTTTATTCATTTCGCGATTATAAAAAGAAAATTGAATTTCTGTATTAATGGAACATTGATAAAGACGTTAACTTCTTTTCTATGAGCGTGGAATGGTTGTAATAGGGAAGAAAGGTAGGGAACGCATTTAACGGGTTTCTCCTTTTATTATGTACTTAGGTGTGGATCGTTTTTAGGGGTTGGTTTGTTGGCTCTGTAAGGGAAAGAGCCTAATGGAGATAAAAGTGATATTGAGGGCGTGGCTGTACAAGAGTAGAGTAAACATTGTCCCAAATTTTCGAAGATAAATTTGTTAATACATCACAGGGAATTAACTGATAAGCAAATTATAAGTGCTGTGATTGAAGAGACTCGTTTAATGAAAATTACCGATCATGTTCTATGATGATACACCATCAAAATTACCGTTCTAAATTATTTGGGTCACTGGTTAACTGTATTTTAAATTATAACATTGGATGATTACGAATTTATGCTTGTACAAGCGTATCTTTCGGTTTATTAATTTCTCTGAACGATAAGAAGAATTCTGATGAGGGAACGATTTGGTCGAATGCGATTAAAAGAAGCCCGTTAATTGTCTTAAGTTTAATCGCTGAAATATAATATCCTCGACTCAGCTTTTACTTAACGAACGCAGAACTCGACGATGCAACAGGTGATTCTTTTACAATTGCAAAAGGAACCTGGAGGAGGTTTCACTGATTCTTAAATTTAGTATCAATTTCATTGTTCCCATAGCTGCATTCTGTTAACACGTTCCGTTAGAACAATCGACCGATCTCTTGCGCCAGACACAAAGGAAAGATTAATGCGATACTCGTTTCTAGTAAGCAATGTGCCAAGTGGTAAAAAAACGTTTCCATGGTCTATATTTTTCAACCAATTAAGAGACTTGAAGGAACGTTCAGTAACAACGATGATAAGCACAATTTCCTCCTATTTTCTTTTTATCTCACGTTATTGAAAAACATCTTTGCTGCCTTTGAGATAAACGTGAATCGTGGTTGACCAATATTTGTTATTTAAGAAGTGATTTAATTGAAACGCCTCTTCTTTCTCAGCGAAGGTGAAATGTACCGTTTCACTGGGGAAATGACCGGCCTTCTCTACCGCATCACGACCGTTTCCGCTCAATATCACGAGTGCAAAGCATTTTTTGTTCTTGCGATGCAGCCTACCGTGCTGCTGGCCTTTGTCCAACCCGGCGTCGTCTGTTTTGATAGCCGCTAGCTAAGAAAAATCGCCCGTCGACTTAAACGATCCAGTTCCTCGCAATTAATCTCCCTTTCATTTGCAAAAATACTTGATTTCATTGACAATACGTTGGAAGTAAGAATCAATCTCCTGTACTGCCGCATATGGTCGATTATCATTTACGTGAATGATAATACGGGGAAAAATGTTTAATAGGTGTCGTGCGTCAATAGGAATTAAAAAGGAAGATAAATAAGTGCTGTAGTCAAAACATTAAAACGGTAACTTATCGCCTTGGAGACATTTAAACGAAGTTTAATCTTCAGAACGCCGGCTCTCGAGATTAAAAATTCCGCGTATCAGTACGGAACGCGCGTCATCGAGATCTCATAGAAATCATACCTACGTTTCGAACTGTACCTCGAAACAAACGTGTTATCAATATTAATCAATATAGAATATTTCTTTAATTTCGAAAGCGATCACAGGTTTGACTATGATTCAATATAATTGTAAAATTACTGCAGAATTTTTTTCTGATTCTTGATACAACAATGCTCTGCAATACACTTCCCGTAATTTAATAAAAATACATATAGAATTTCGCTATAAGGCAAACGCAATTTGAACACGAGAAATGCGCTTTCGTTTTAACGCGAAATTCGTTTTTGCTGAAACGCAGTTTTTTGAAGCAGTTCCCGCGATTTGGGATCGATTATCGATCGCGAATCTTTCGACCCCCATAGCAGACGACGAGCCATGGGTAGTATAGTAGGGTTTTGAAAGGAGCGCGCGAAACGTCGCACGTACCGGGTCCCGCGTGCTTTTCGAGCAGTCAGAACTGTTTTAAAAATCGTTTCCACTCACCATTTGACGCATAGGATTGTTCACCGTCGCCCAGCGATACTCCTCGAGTTGGACGGTCTGGTAGCGTCGCTTTTTTTTCCAATGAGATTCAGCACGTCTCACGACCGATATCACCACAGCTGGGCCCATCCGGCCATCTTGCCGTATACCAAAACGTGTACTACACTGCGCTGGCGTGTTTCACCCACTCATCTCTCCCTCTCGTTCCCTTGCCAAAGGTAATTGCGTAAGTACAGCTGCGACATATTCAGTCGCCTTGTCCTTATTGCTCGTCAGTCCTCTTTCTTTGTCTATCTCTGTCTCCGGCGCCGGCGGCGCCACCGAAGTTTTGAACTGTTGTTCCCGGTTAAAATATCTCGTGCGTGCGTTTTACTCCGAAGCATAATCGTGTTTTTGAGTGCATTATACTTACAAGAAGTTCAAAGCATCTTCGCTTGAATGTCTCTACTCTTTAAAGAAACGAACAATTTCGATGTATCATGTCTGATATGTCAAAAATGCTTGTAAAGTACTTGAAATCGGGTTGGAATGTACGAGGCATACTGGATTTATGTTTTCGTATGTCTGGTTAGTATGCGCAATGATCTCGGGTAGATTAATGCATAAGTGATTGATTCGATGTTTTCGCATGATTTTATATCGTTTTTGTTGGATAAGAGTTATATGAAGATTTTATGTATAATAGGTTGGAGGCATTCGAAATATAACGGTGGCGCTAGTGTCGCTGTTCTACCCTCGCTCGGCGGCGCCATTTACAGTCAAGGAAGTGAGATGAAGCGGGACGAAATCGCAACAGATTTACTGGTAAGTAAACTTATTTAATCTCGCTTAACTATTTATAAGATTGTGGATATAATAAGAGTTCAACGAAATCTGAGAGTGTATAAAATATTTTATTCAATACTGACAAGTTCTGTCGAAAGGCGATCTTACGGTATTTACACGGCATGCCTAGCTTATTGTACAATACACGTAGTAAGATATTTACAGTTCGCGTTAAATAAATAAATTAGCTACTACTGAACCAATCGGAGCCCATGGCTCCGAAAAATGCGGCTGCACCGGATTTTATAGTCGCTCCAGCAGAATCGCTTTTCGTATTTTCTTTGGTCGGCTTCTTTCGCTAGAATCATAAAGGAAACGTTCAGTTGTAGTTTCAAGATGTCAGACCGCGGATTTCGGTGCAATGCATGAAAATCTGCAGTCTGTGCAATTGCTCAAAGCCTGGAATCTCAGTTAGTCAATGATTAATGGTAGAAAACGTTTCAGACGCGTGCCTCGTTAATCTATTTAAGAGAAAACGTAGCATGCAATTGTCTTACCGCACTTAAACGCGCGAGTTATTCAAATGCTCGGTCAATCTATGGGTACATATACAATAAAGTGAAAGATTGGAGATCTTTTTGCTGAATAGTATTCGAGTAGAGTTTGGGATGCATTTTGTTAAATATTTAACGACATAGTTACCTGTGCTTTCTCGGGCAAAGTGACAGCGACGAGGGGTAAATTCCTTGCCGGGGCGGTCACTGTCAGGGGTGGGAACCAAGGTGCACCTGTGCACAATGCAAGCACCGATGGTAAATCTGATTTCACACCCTCAACGTTAGTATACTCGCTTCGTGCACCCAAAATCGAGTGCAATTGTTCCAAATGAGGCACTAGATTGCCGAATATAAGCTGAAAAACAGATAATTGAAACGTGTGCGTTGTTTGATGAAGTACTTTATAGCTGAGTGCTCACCAGAGATCTTTGAACGCTTTTCTTCACGTTGGTGTGAATGAAGGGATTGAAAAGGTCGTAATCGAACGGATCGATTTTGGAGAGTACATTGTCGCAGGCTTTAATCGATAGATCGGACAGATTTTTGTTCTCTCTTGGTATCATGAGTAAACTAGAATATTTGATGTCGAACAGTACTTGGAAGGCTTGTTTCTGTGAAAGATTCACTTTACTGGACGTAGTTAGATAATAGTTCAACAATTCCGCTGCAACGTGTTCTATAATTTCGTGTAACACTTTCCTACAACAAAATTAAAAAATCAATAGGTATTTATTAACAATGTAATGTACGACTTACTTCGGAAGTGTGTGTGGTATTATTTTATTTAAATCTTTGTTGACCGCCGTTAGGAATTTTTGTTGTTGTATGGACGGCTGATACGGTACTAGAATCTCAGATTTTATCCTCTTGCCTTCGCCGGAGTCTTCTTCGATCGTTACCTTTTCCCATTCCGATACGATTAAATGTATCGGGTAACCGTTCAACAGTTCTTTTGATACAAACTTATTCTTATGCTCGCTTATCTTAGCTTTATACGTTCTCGCCCAGATCAACCAGACGGAAATACTCTCGTCTTTCAATTTATCACAGACCGTCTGCCATTTAAGGTTCGTAATGGTTAATCCGGAGACTTTTGAGAGCGTGAAGCACTTATTTAAATTTGAGCTAAGCGTCGTCAATGCTAAAAGGAATCTGGCCATCACGATCGCGTTTATATCACGCTGACCGTGTTCCGGTTTTTCGTTGACGCACGTGGTCTTCGTAAAATTGATAACATCGTCGATCATATTAGTGCTGATGATCTGTAGATGTTCTTGAATCTCCGTGCGATCGGAAAACGTATCAGATATCAAAGATATGTTCGTAGATAATAAGTTTTCCTTGATCGACATCACGCGTTCCGTTTCGTATAAGTATTGCTCGAGATCCGCGAGTAGAGCATGTAAGTTCGTATCAAAATGTTCGCATAATTTGAGAATATTCGGTGAATATCCTTTGGTCTTCATCAGTAGAGATCTCTTATTGTCTAAGCCTCCATTCTTGCTGAGCTTCTGCGGAATATCGCTCGGAGAATCCTTCCAGATAAACCATCGCAAATCGTGTTCCGGATATTCGAACTTCTCGTTTATTACTTTGGCTAGTAAATCGACCACGTCGGATTTTAACGTGGTCACAGCTTCCGCCCATTTATCATTTATTATACCTACGAAACGTTAACGTCTTGATAAATGTTTAATACGTAAAAATTAAATAGTCTTATATCATGACGCATACTTTTAACTCGGCTGGATATTAAGGGTTGGAAGAATTCCACCCAAAAAGTTATCCTTGGCAAAGAAAGTTTCTCCCATATTGAATTCCAATTCTCAGGCAGGCTGATACTGACTGCTTCCTCGCGAACGTAGTACAAGCCTTTGATGGATATTATTAGATTCAAAAGTTTCGTGATCTCGCGATTAGAAAATTCGGCGACCCAGTCGAGCCAGAATTTGATGCTCCTTTGAATATCGGATATAGAAAAGTTCTCAGAAGTTTGTACAGCGAACGGTTTATGCTGTTTCGTCACTGCCGGCAGAAATTCCATTAGTAATTCTTGATTCAAATCCAGTTGAGAAAGCAGAGAATACGCTTCCTGGTCTTGAATTCTTGTCAAATACTGCGAGACGAGGCCCTCCGATTGATTTTCCGTAGCTGTAATCAATATTTTTTAATATCCGGCAATGCGTCAGAAAGCATCGATATCTCTGTATAGGGAATACGATTTCTTACTTATGAAACAAGAATAAATCAGATTGATCGTTTGAATTAATATCTCGATGCACGATTTTATTTTAGTTTTCACGCTGCTGTCGTTCTCGTCAGTTACGACAGATCGAATCGCGTGATTACGCATCGATATTAATTTCTCCAATAAGTCTGGGAACGAGGTTCCGTTTAGTAATACGAGTGCTGCCAAGCAATTCGCAATGCTCTAAAATAAGCGTGTTACTTATAAAACTGTGACACGGAATTCGGCTTGACCAATACGCACCTCTGGTTGTACATCCAGTGACTCCAGCACATTGTTACATTCGTTAAATATGATATTTTTGAAGTGACTAATAACGTCCCATTGCTTAGATACAATGGGATATTTAATAGACAGCTCTGTGTTTCCTACTTCGAATAGTAGACTATAATTTATGTGTTGCGCTACTAGGTACAACTGCGTGGCGAACAGGAGATCTTTGTTTTCTATGTTAGACCAAATGTACTGCGGTATATCCATTAGGATTTTTATTTGAATGATGACAGAGTCTTGGATTCCTTCCACGTTCCTTCAAATATAAATCCTATGTATAGTACGATGGATACGTATTAGACGCAAAGGAATTACCTCTCATTTTCGTTCTCATTTGGATCTATTTTAAAACCGATCAAATATTTTTTCTGCAACTCTCCAAACTTGTCTTCTATATTAGCAATCCTTGAGATAACACGTTCGGACGTTATCTTCATTTTCCCAATTGTGTCTGCAGCCAATATCAGGTCACGATACCGTTCTCTGCAAGTGTGTACGCACTTAATGAATACCATATCCATAACCTTGCTGTACTAGCAATTACACAGATAAGAAGTAGTCTGTTAACAATATTCTTGTGATATACGGTAGCTGGACGAACAGCAGATATGAGAGAAAAATAATGAATTATTCTAAATAATGTTTTTTACCCAACCAGTGTCCTAAGTTCAATTTTCTTTCTGTCACTTTCATGCTGGATTTTTTTCTGAATCGCCTCGATCTCTTTGATCGTGTGCTCCTCAAATAATTTATTGATATCCAAATCCAAATAATTTGTTGTTGTCATCCTTCTGACAGTTCGTCTGCTCGTAGATTCTCGTACGGTTATTCCACCATGTCCCACGTAACCAGACTTATTTACATTTCATTTTTATCGGCAGGTCTGTACGTGATAGTCTGGCTGATAGTGTGGCTGGCTGTTAGGTGGCAGGATACGTTCAGTTTCCCTCTTGAGCGATGCTGGACCCGAGAGCAATACGAGAAGACATCGAGCTCTATCAGGATAGAGGTCAAAGGAGAAGACGACGAGTGGTGAGTCTATTACGAATGACGAATGGTGAGTCTATTACGAATTTAATTGAATACAGTTTGCTTTCGATAAATTTGATATATTGGATGTTGAAAACTACATGCGATATCTTTGAATGATCGTCTTTTAACTGTGTACACTGTGTATGAGAAATTAATCCATGAAATTGCGACATGAGAATCTGAATACGACCATAATAATTAATACAATCAATAGTCGCGGTGTTATATTAGATGTGCGACATGAATTGATGTTTTAATTGTACGTATATTTCGAATTCGATTGATAAGACTTTTATCTTTTCACTCGAAGAGAAGCAATCTTTAGAACAAGGGTAATTGATAGCAGGAGCTGAACTACCCTGTTCGAGTAGATTTAATGGACAAGGGATACCCTACCGGTAGCCTTTATCCTTTCTTTAATTTTCCCAACGTGTGCGATTTCACACGATAAAATTTCAGCAAAGTGCGGATATACGAAGTGCACCAATTTCTTTTTTTCATTTACACAGTAAGTAAAACATTTAAATAATGTCTTAATTTAAAAATTTAAATAGAAATTTCTTTTTTCGATTTTGTTTCTTAAATATTATCAATATTAATGTTAGTAGTTTAATTATGATTGTTGATTACGTGTCTTCACGAAATAGCAACGATTGTTATGCAATCTGCGAGAAGGTGTAGCAGAATTTTTATTGGTGTCAAAGTTCGTTTGAATATCGCCAAAAGAATGAATTCCGTACATCTAACAAAACATCCCAATCAGCAATTCTCAATTTATGCGTTTCGTTAACCTTTCCCGATTCCGTATTCAAATTATCGCGTGAGGTCAATGCAAGCATCCGATTGCTGCTCTCAAACTTTTTCTTGCCGAGGGGGCGTTAAAAATCTACGAAAAGGTCGAGCGTGGGACGTAAATGTCCGTAAAAGGTGGCAAAATTGAGCCGGGGGTAAACGTTGGAACGTATTTTGCTCGGATGAATATCGCGGAGGTGTTGAATTGAGAATGCCGAATCGCTAAGACCGGAAGGCAACGTGTTTGATAACGATCAAAATCGAGTTTATTAGCACATTTCCATCATGCATAAAAGTATCATAATAAAATATTTCATATGGTAATTCGTATAACGATTGATGTACTGCAATGAGGTGTTGATATTTCATGTGATGTTCAATACAATAATTGATAGATCAATGAAACTAATACAAATGGAGGAGTACTATACTCCGACCAGAAAGTGCGTATGTACGGTAAAGATGGAAATGGGTTAAACGCGGTTTTAAAGGCATTCAAAGTCTTAAAGGCTACCCAAGCGCAAAAATAGTCTCCCGAAGGAAAAAAGTTGTCAGGCCTAGAAATTACAAAAAAATCAATAAGAGCATGAAAGTTATTAATAGTACGTCCAAGACGATGAAAATTATGGAGAAAAAATAGAGGATTTATTAAGAAGGAAGTGGCTGGGCTTTTTGTGCAAAAATAACTCTTGATTTTTCAACAGAAATTTATTAAAATTACACTGTCGTCATTACGTCGGTCTCACTACAGAAAATAATGGTACAACCGCCCTAGAATCTATTATCTGTTCAAATAAATGTAAATACAAAATTCTATTTGATCCGGGTTTGTTCTAAAAGTAATTAGAACTCGCTCGGAGGGAATTTCGATGAAGGGTGATTTACTGCACGATCTCCCTCGTTTTATAGTGAAATTTATTAAATTGAAATCACATAAACGTGTAAGTCCTCCCCATCTTTTTACCGTGCATTCTCGGGGGGATTTCGCTATTATTCGCGGGGAAATTATTCGAAAACTTGGTAAAGAGTGGAGAGAATTGAACGCCCATCAGCACGGGGGGTAGGTGGCCGCGTGCGAATTCCCTCTCTGCGCCTCCACATGGAGAACGGTATCTGGCCCTGGGGGCATAACATCCCCCTTTCCCCGCCCATCTCGTCGATCTGACCGACCACGCTGCCCCCTCTTGATTCCCACCCTTTTGATCGGCTTGTCTCTTCTCTCCCCTTTATCCAGCTCATTCCGGACCATTGCCTCGTTCTCCCTCTCTCGTTCCGGTAACCTCTTTGCCACCGGTACCTCTCGCTTCTTCTACTTTACTCCGACTCGGTTGCCTTGCCCCCACCTTTGAATTGCCCCTTCTTCCATACCGAACCACCCACCAGATCGCTCGTTCGCTATGCTCGCGATCACCCGCTCGTCCTCTCTCTCCCACATTAATCGGATCGATCGTCGCGTCTCCCTCTTTCGATCGCTGCGTCCCTCTTCGTCGTACGCGCGCTACCGCGAATGACTTTACCCTCGTCCGACTCGATTGCGCGGAGGCAGGCGCCACGAATTCACTTCTCGCGACTTCGGCTTGGCTCGGTCTGTTCCGCTCGCTGCTCAGTCAGAAGAATTCGTCAGTATTCGCCGCGCTGCGCTGCCGGCAGGTTACACGTTAGAGGAAAGGTGATTCGACCGTCGTTCAACGATCGCAACCGCGCGTGTCCCCGACGTAGATCGAAGGTATTTTAACGACATGCGCGTCGAAGGATAGTAGCACGAGCGTAAATCGTAACCGGTTCGAACTCGTTCCCGATCCGTGATCTCCCGATCTCGAAACGAGTCGCAGTGTCCGCGCGCGTACGTCTGGATCTACTTGAACAAAGGAACGCAACAGGCTGGAGGGAGGAGTACGAACGATCAGGTAACATCGATGAGAAGTCGGAAGAGAGAACTGGTCTCGGTGCAGAAATCTCCAGTGGACGTCACGTGGGAAACGCGACCGCCCGCGGCCGTTTCGTTCTTTGAAAGATCTGCGGTGAATCGTTCGACGTATGCGTCGCGGATCGTGCGAAGTCGAATTTCGATTCCCGCGACGCAGCGGGCCAAGTTCTCTATCAAAACATGACCACGTGACCGACTACGGCGCGGCTTGTAAACAGTGAGTTTGACCACGTGGTCTGCCCCCTCCTATCGGCGTCGTTCCTCTCCCCCGTGCTCGTCCTCTTTCATCGTCTCCGTCTCGCTCGCTCGCTCGCTCGCAACACGCAGAACAACGTACGCCGCGTAGCGTATTCTCGGTCGGTTCGCTACCAGTTGCGGGAGAGTTCGATTCGAGTTGATCCGTGATTACCGCTCTGTCTTATTCTTCGTCGCAATTCGAGCCGCGCCACGAGATTCGCGAGTGTTCGTCCGTTCGCACGCACTTAGTTCACGACGCGGTATATCGAGGAGAAGTGTGGTTGTGTCGTTCGAAAATCGCTAAGGTTACGAGGCAAAGTGGCAGTGTCGGCGGTCGAACGCGATCGACTATTCAATTCACGATTCGGGTAGATATTCGCACCTCGGGACGAGCACCGCGCGAGGTGCTTCTGGTGTAGAAGTGGAGTACATGGAGGACACGAACATGATGGACTCGGTGCCGGTTTCTGCGTCGGGGTCGAAGACCGGGTTGCAACCGCAGCAGGGGGTACCGTACGACCTTGAGACCGGGTTCGAGCCACAGGCGAGAGCACGGTCGCTCACGTGGCCGCTGCCAAGACCGGAGGAGTACATCGATGGGGACGTGGTGCCGAGCGTCTCGGCCAGCAAAGAGGGCGTCGAGGGCGTCGAGGGCGTCGAAGGTGGCACGTCGTCTCAGCATGGATCTCTGGTCCAAGGTACCATCCTGCTCCCGGTCAAGAAGAATTCGTCCCGGCGGAACGCCTGGGGAAATCACAGCTACGCTGATCTCATCACCCAGGCCATCACCAGCGCCCCGGACGAACGGTTGACTTTGTCGCAGATTTACGAATGGATGATGCAAAACATACCGTACTTCAGGGAGAAGGGAGAGAGTAACAGCAGTGCCGGATGGAAGGTCAGTCTACTGTTTATTTCTGTTATCTATTAGCTTCAAAAAGTACTGTGGATATTTTCGTAAGTACAGTTTTATTATGTGATCTGGTTTAAGATATTGAACGCAATACCGGATATGTAATTCTTCAGGTTGCATTTCGAATCAATTGCAGGGCAGTTTTCGTGAAATCTCAGCTGCGCATAATTGTTTATTTATTTTTGAATGTCTTATCTATGAAAAAGCAGAGAGATTGCAGTCGTAGAATTTAAATACGAGTATGAACAATCCGCAGAACTTTCTGAACGACTCAACAGTTTGATTACACATTTTAATATCTGTAACATCTGGACTGCGGATTTTATAGAAAATGTAGAGTACATTTAATATTCGAGAACGTTTAGGGTAGCATATTATAATTTTTCACGAACAAAAATAATTCCTATCTAATTAGAAATAAATATAAAAATCCGCAGTCAGCGTTCTTCTAATGCATATGTCCAGCTTATCGTTCTACGCAGTACACGTGTTCTATTTTAACACAAAGAATATTGCTAGACAAGCAACATTTTCTCCTATTGAACATTTTATATATCTGGTGGATGGGACTTTATCGCGTGATATAACTCTTTTTTCACCATTTTCGTATTCCTGTCTTAATCTTACGTAACGAGCATGCTCGTTTATTATGATGCTCTCGAAACCGCACGTTTCCACAATGAACAATTGACCGGGGGTGTTTTCGAATTGTCGTGGCAAGGTTCATAGTACTATTAATTATTTAGTATATTGTTATAAGGTTCATTTAAAAAATGAATACGACAAACCTTCGTCGGTGTCTCAGCGAAGTCTAATAAACATTGAACTTGAATTAGGCGTGTGGCACGTTGTAGGCTATATTCTTAGCGAATATCTTGGAACACCGTGATATATAAGTACCCAGTCTTTGTTTTGCCGCACATTGACCCGTCACGTGAGGTGTTTTGAAACGATACTTGCTCGCAAGATTTGAAAAAGTTAGTGACGCACTTGGAGCACGGGAATCCGCGATAAACGAATAAAGAGAAAAAGAGTAATCGTTTTATCTCGGTGGCGTTTTAAAAATAATAATTACGGTTTGACTATTTTCGTGGGCTGAATAGCCGGCGACGACGGTGTCGGCGATTATTCGCGTTTTACGATCCCCTCGTTGGCGCGATCAAGCCTCTTCTTCTTCTTCTTGTTACTCTTTCCGCGTCTACATAGTCGCCGCGGATTCTAACACGATTTCAACGTCGCGAGTTTCGTGTCTCGTCACCGTCGAAACGTTGACCGTGAATTAGATAGAACGAGACGGGAAAAGAGAAAGGCGCCAGCTAGCCGCTTTACATTTTTCGGCGCGTATATACACGCGTATAATATATAGCGGATAGAGAATATTCGCGGTATGTAAAAAAAGTGCCGATAGAATAAAGGAACAGGTTTCTCGCGTTGTATCCGTTTTATTTTCGTACGGTTCTTCTCCACTCTTTTCCATTCCGAATCGTTATCCTTAATCGAGTTACTTGGACGAATTCCTAAGTGTCTTGGTTGACTCATTTGCATCATACACCGCCGGATGCGACTAAAATTGATACAACTTTTTTCACATGAAAATTGTTGTGATTTATAATACGATATTCGATAGAAAAGTTGAGTTTAATGAATACATAAGAGCAAACGATTGCGAACGATTGAAAATATCTGCTACGATCTAAACTCATATTAAATGAAGTCGAGGCTAATCGAACCGGAGTTAACTAACTTGTCTAATCGGGAACGAGATTTTTCACGGGTGGAAAACGCAGCGTTAGGAATTTCTACGCGGTTCGCTTTCACGCGAAATTCACCGGGGGATAATGAATATTAAAAAAATCGTTGGATCTTGATAGAGAACCACGCTCTTTTCACGCGGCCTGTATTAGCCAGTCCGATTTCTAACGATGGACGTGCATCACACCGTCGCATCGCATCGGAATTTAAAAAAAGCATGATATCGATTTACGCGGTTTAACAGTTGGCGAAGTTTACTTTTTCCCGCGGTATTGCTGCTTTTCCCTCAAAGCGGACCACATTTGCGAGTCGCTCTCTCGAATCGACGGGAAATAAAAAACGGCTGTAAACAGTAACAACGTTTTCATTCCCGACTGCGATATTCGATGAGGCGCATTATAATAATTACCGTATTGCGAATTTTCTACGTTTCGTATGAAAATTCAATCCGGAGAAACGATAAATTTCGTAATGTCAGGATATCGAAGAATGTTTCAATGTTTACACGTTAAAAGGTATCTCCTCTTAAAAGTTCTATTTTTTCCAAAACAGTGCAATCTGCCAATTATCATAAATACTTTCTCAAGCGTTTTATTAAGGATTCGCTCGGTTGTTTCGCTGTGGCAGATCGCTGCCAGAATTTGCCGTTGAACGAAAAATTTGCACCGCAGCTGCGAGGTTCAGATGCAACGCGTGCAATCGCGTGGTGTCTGTGCGATGCATGCACAGATATCTCCATCTCCCGCGTGTATTTCCTACGCACCGTTGGCCGCGTGTATGCGTGAGAATATAAATAAACGAGAATAGTCGGTATTATCTGCGACGTGCATAACTATTGTGTATCGTCGGCCACCGAGATCGAGACCAAAGCGTCGCATTTATCAAGCTTTCCGTACGACTTCAACCAATCTTTTGTAATTGGAGCAATTTAGTACGTAGCTTCGAATCTTTGTTCGAAACTTCTTTTCACAAATCCCTTTAGATAATCAATAATTCACATTGACTGTGCTTAACGTCTGCTGTCTGTACTTCAAACAAAATCCTTACAACAATACTTCCATAGACTCAAATCTTCCCTCTTTGCCAATTTCCTGGAATCGTCAATAATTTCCGTGTTCTTCACTTTCCTCGCTCTGAAAAGACGTTCTGCACTTGAAGTAAAATTATAATAGCAGACGTTCATCGACATTAATCTCTGTAAACGTAATTCTGATATCGAAATGGCCTGATGTTCGAAGGCTGAAGCGTTCAGATCCGACCAATGAAATTAGGGTAGCTCGCAATGCGACGACGACGTACATATGATGTGATGTATACGTACGTGTGATGTTTCAGCAGATATTCGTATCACGGTTGATACGCGTCGGTGTGTATGCGAACGCATTCTTCACCGGCGTATCAACGTTCATACCACCGGCTCCCATTCGCATCTAAACGTATTCATCTTAAGCTTATTGCCCTTCTTCGCGCCAGCAGGTGCTTAAGTCAGTTACTCTGTCGTTTATTAGTGCTCTTAACCTCTGGCAAAAAGCGTTTTATGAATGCAGTAATACGATAAGAATATTTAAAATGTGAAGGCGGCAGAATTTTTGTATCATACGTTTCACTGGATACGTGTATCAGATACGTTCTGTTTTATATGAATATTTTATAGTACACAATTTAGCGCAGTAATTATTTTGTTATCTAAAATTGTTTGCCAGGGCAATATAGTTTCTATGATCTACAGATTTTCACTCGCGTTCAAGAAGCTGAGCGATAGAAATCTTGACCTGGTCCTGATTCTGCCAGTTGGAAAAGTATTATCAGATTTTCACATTTTGTTTTCGTCATGTTGCGTACTAAAGTCGAGTGATAAAGAACGTTATACACTTGAACCCAATTAGCAACTGATAAAATAAAGTGTATTATTTGCACATTTTTTTATGAGAACATCGGTTTGATTGGAAAAATGAGATCTGAAGTGGGAATACTTATTCTTGCACGTTATATGTAGTCTCTGCGTGTATGTTCTGTAAATGCATCAAATCTCGTTGATGATCGTTTATGAAATCTTTGAAAACCCGACCTTGGCAGCCGAGGCTTTCGAGAAAGATTGCTCGACGAAGTTTCGAGCAGTAAACCGAGGAAAGGTGTTCTATAAGAGCCCTTGAGCAACGAGCCCGGCGGAGGCGAGACCGATTTCTCAAAGCCGTGGAATTCGAACGTTAGTAGAAGAAGCGTCGAGAAACCGTGAAACCGGCAAAGGTCACTTATCCGTCTGGTTTTAGTACTCGTCGCTGCGAGTCATACCTGGCCGTGATCATCGTGTTCCGAACAGCGGTGTTCTTCCATAGCGATTATCCGTGCTCTTAACGATCGCGTAACCGAAACTCGAACGCGCTGTTCCTTTCATTGCAGCCTCTCATTTCGCCCCTCTTCGGGTTTTATGCGTTTCTGAACGTACCTCAAACGCGGTCTGTCCGACACGCTGCTCGTAGAACAAAGAATCTGTAGCTCCGTTTTCGACTTCATTTGCATGGCACACTGCCATTTAACGTTGTAGTAAAAATTAATACAATGTTTCACGCATGAGTCGAGAATCGGTCTATCCGAAATTCCGTGAATTCTTAGAGTCTCGTTTCTTACCTAAACAACGATAGGATTTCCTCTAAAAATAATCAGGCAGACGCGAAGATCAGATGAACGATCTGTGACGATCGTTCGTTGCTCGAAAACGTTTGGTTCGCGCGTTCATTCGAACGACGTTATAACCGGGTTAGCGAGCCGCGGCGCAATTAATGCGAATTTTCCGAACGGTCTGCTGTTCAATGAGATTTAAAAATGATTTGGTGTCGCGCACCGTCTATACATTTTCGAGCGTACGCGCCGAGTTTAAAGCAGAGGCTTTCCACGTTATTTTTGCACGAGGTAACACTGGCATCGTTGCCGCGTCTCTCCCTCGTCGATCTCTTTCCCTTCCCTCTTTATCTTTCTCTTTCTTTCGCTGTACACCGCCTCCGTGTACGACCCTGCGACGACCACGGTTGCCGATATCATCATCGTGAGGTCATCTCTCGTTCCTCCGCCTACTTTGGGCCCCCACGACTCCTCCGATCAGGACCGACCGGTGGAAGAACCGTCCTCCCGGTTTTTTTCACTCCGTCGATTCCTCGCCTGCCCCGGGATCGCGATATCATCGATAGACCTAATCCAGAGCATCGTACGTTCCATTATTTCTATCAGCAAGCCGT